CACAGAGGCTGGAGCAACAGGAGGCAGCAATCGGTCCGCCAGGGCCTGCAGGTGTTTGCGGAGGGCACGGTCCTGCTCCCACCGCTCTCACAAGCTCTCCCGCCACAACTGCAGGTCCTCTTGCACCCACTGCTCCTGGCTGTGGACCTGCCATCCCTGTAAGTGCAGCTGCTGCCTCAAACTCCTCCAAGTTGCGGGTGTGCCTGCTGGCCAGGTGCGGGTGGATTGTCCAGGTGGGGTGGTGCACCCTGCACTTGCAGGTGCTGTGGCGAAATGAGAAGTGGTCAGTTCTCCCTGGGGACACAGTGGGTGAACCCCACCCCCCCCCCGCAAGGTGAGGACAGCAGGTCTCCGCACCTGCTATCCCTGGGAGTATGAGCTGGCTGCATCCCAGCCCCTGTGCCGCCTATAGTGTGGTGGTGGGGGCGGGGGAGGGAAGATGTGCCCTGACTCTGTGTAGAGGGGGTGTCTGGAGGGAGGGCAATGTGCAGTGTCTCTCCCTGGGGTCAGGAACCTGTCACGTGCTTTCATGCGTAGACATGTGTGGGGAACAGGCCAGGGCCCCTGCATGGCACCCAGCTGGGGCCACATGACCTGGATGGCATGGCAGATGTACAGGTTTCCGCCTGCTCCATGCTCATCAAGGCCAATGCGTACGGTCCCTGGGCTCTCCCTCCCCCCCAACCCTGCAAAAGGGGATCATGATGTCATTCACATGTGGAGGCCTCCCTGGCCTTGGATAAGGTTGCTGATGGGCTCTCCAGTTCGGCTCGGGGGTCCTGGGTGCAGGCACACTCCCTGCAGGCTCCTGACTGCCGTCATCCTCCTCTTCCTCCTCTTCCCCTGTGTCAGGGGCAGGGCCCTCTGCTCCGGGGTTGATGACGACCAGGGGGGCGTGGACCATCTGACCTCCCAGGATGCGGTCCAGGGCTTCAAAGTGTGGGCAGTCCGCCAGGTCAGCCCCTGGTTGGGAGGCCCTGGCATAGGCCTGCCGCAGTTCTTTAATTTGATGTGCACCTGCTCCTGGCTGCGCACGTGGCCTCTGGTGGCCAGGCTGGCAGCCATGTGGCTGTAGACAGCCACATTCCTGTGCCTAGTACGGAGATCGTGGGCTTTGGAGGCCTCCCCCCAAACCTCAATAAGGTCCACAATCTCCGCACTAGACCAGGAAGGTGCCCGCCTTTTGCAGCCCCTGGCAGGCTCCTAGGAACTGCTAGCCTGGTCCTGGGGAGTGGTGGAGGGCTGGGTGGCAGCGGGTTGCTGGCTCATCCAGAGTCTACCCCTTTAAAGGCTCTGGGTTTGGGGGGGGGAGCAGACGAGTTTTCCTGGTTGTGCCCAGAGTGGCTACCAGGGCTCCCTGGGAAGGGCTGGAGACCCCCTAATTCGAAATAAGTGTCTACACAGCTCTTATTTCAAATTAGCTATTTCAAATTTGGTGATATTCCTCATAGAATGAGGTTTACCACATTCAAAATAAG